CGACGCAGCAGTATGCAGAGAGCCTCGACAGCAGAGCACGCAGTTCGTTCGGCAGTGACGACTCGAGCAGGGATTCGGAGAAAGTTGGCCATCGATCGTAGCGTTGTCTTCGTGAAACGAAACTTCTGAACACAGTCGGCATCGGAGAAAGTGTCCAACGTGAAGCTCACATTAGGAATTGTTAGGTGAGCTCGGTTGGCACTACGGCGCAGTAGGCGGAGCTTCAGGCGGAGAGGCACGGGGGAACGGTGGATGAATCGGCGTTGCTGAGGTTGCATTTTCAAGAATGGCATGGAATGCAACATGGTTATCAAGCACATTACAGACTTGCTAAACTGGAATTCATCTGACTTCGCAATTCAGACTTCAACAAAATCGAAGGCAGCACCAAGTCTGTGAACTGGTGAAATTTCGGACTTGCTAAAACTCTCTAATAGGAGGATAAATACAGAGTGCCGTTACTTTGCAATCAAGCCAAAATACTATACGTATAGTATCCTCACGCCGAGTTTTGAGGATACTCGTACGGTATATGCCTCGCACGAAGCTGCCGTGCAAGCGGCAAACATTGCACTACAGTACTCATTCGATATGATTGGCTGAGTTTTTCATTAAAAATGCACCCGCATCCATTTTAAAAGTTCGCCATGATATCATTTGAGCTTCGCCGTGATATATTTAAGTGGGAGTTTATTATAGCAAATTGTAAATAACAAATTTTAAATAGCGAATTGTAATAGTAACGTGATCGACCATTGATCGGCCAAGGTGTTTCGTCCAATTGAAATTAATACGATGTTTCATTGGACATGGAGGTAAACAATTCAATTTTAAAGATGTTTTCAGCTTTGAATTTGAAATGCCGCCAAGAACGTCCTACACGCAGGAGGCGATGGATGTGGCTGTCCGAGCTGTGCTCAACCAACAAGACACACAATGTTTTGTCCGCTTCCGAGGCACATGGTATACCCCAACGTACACTGCGCACCCATTCGCAAATCAATCACGGGCGACAACCGACCGACGACGATGGGCAGGCCGCCTGTCCTGCCGAAGGAGTTCGAAGACGACTTAGCTACTTGGATTATCTCAATGGAACACGAAGGGGTACCCGTTGGCTGTCGTCAGATCGTCGACAAGGCAACCGAGATACATCAAATGGTACATGATACACCACTTGACACCAAGCTTACGAGCGGTTGGTACAAAAGATTCCTCGAACGCAATCAAGATCTCAAGATTGCGAAAGCACGAACTCTGAGCAAACCGCGAAACGGTGTCGACAAAGATACCGTGGTGGAGTTCTTTCATGAGCTTGCTCATTCCATGTCACGTGTTGACATGGATCCATCACGGGTCTTCAACATGGATGAGACTAGTTTTTCGCACATCTACGACGCTGCGACATCATTTGACATTTTGCTGCAATTTCTACCAGCCAACTCAACGCATCTGTTCCAACCGTTGGACGTTACGGTCTTCCGGCCGTTCAAACATTCGATACGCCAAGAAATTTGGGATCTTTTTTGGACCGACGTGTGCTCAACCATCAAGAAGCAGCATGCAATCAAGATTTCCTGTAACGTTTGGGCAAATGATACAAGTTCATGAGCTATTTCGGGCGGATTATTTTGCACCGGACTGTGCCCTCCATCGTTGGACAATATGATGTACCGTCTCTCGCTCTACAAGCCTGCTGAAGTTGCCAAGAAATACGTTGAAGAATCTTGGCTCCAACGAACAACAATTGTTCGCAATCAGGTGCTACTTTTGCCGCCCGAGAAGTAGCGAAAGCGCGCGCCACGAAAGCGATTGACAGTCAGTGGTAAGCTGATCACTTCTGATTACCAAGGTCGTTTGCAAGCGCAAGCCCTGGAAAAGCCAAAGCGCAAAATGAAAGCTACTCAAGATGACTTGGCGGTCCAAGTGTTAAATTCGGACGATTTCGTAGAAGTTTGTGTGATTTAGATTGATAAAAACAGTTCATACAATGTGTTTGTAGTTGTTAAAATTTGTTGCTAAGCTATAGGATAAGAAAATTGTTAAAAAAGATGTCAAGAAAGTTGGTTTGGCTCGACAATTCCCTAGGCACCGTGCCCACCTCGAAGAATGATCTTCACTGGTTAACCTTTGCCCTGACCCCACTTACTGCTTCGTTGTAGAGAAGGCTAACGGTATGGAGGTATGGAACGGACGCAGACACACTTGGTGGTGACGAACATACGCCGCAGACACCCGCAATGGGCACCAGGAGGATAATTGAAGAATGAATCAAAATCAGTTGTGCAAATACAATTTTGCGTTTAATTTTAACTTTTTTTCAATATATTTCCACCAACCTCCGATATATTTCACCGAATCGCCAATACAATTCACCCAACCTCCATTATATTTCACGCCGAATTGAAATTTGGCCATTATATTTCACCCAACCCCCGATATAATTCACCCAACCAACGCTTAATTTCACCTGACCACCTATATATTTCATGAAAAGTAAATCCTTTACGCCCGAGAGAGTGAAAACCAACACAAGCAACACATCTACGGCTCAAGCACCAACGTCCACGCCTTGCAACTTCGTACCACGACATAATACGGCTCAAAGAGAGCAGTGTACACATGCAAGCGATTTGGCTCCATTCATATTCCATTGTTGAGTTAAATACGATACAAATGCACCGAATACCTTCAATTGCCTCGTCCCCTGTGTGTTCCAAGTATTGCATGCGAAACTCATTACGATTTTGGCCATCGATGGCAGCCCTATATCCGATCGTTTTGTGTATTATATGTAGCTTACCGCGTTGCATTGGTGCCAACGACTCTAACACGAGCCATCCTTGGACTCGTTGATTCCATATGCACGAGCAACGGACTTCCAGTCTTGTCCGGCGTCGTGTGCTGCAACCACACGTCTTTTGGAAGAGAGGAAAACTCGCTTGTAGGGACAGACCACGTTGGGGTGGCTGCTACAGTATGACATATTAGCGGTGGATCGTTCTATACAGAGAGCTGTACCGGAGTTTGTGGTGCAGGGATGGCCTCTTCCATCGAGCTCAGATTCAAGATTGGTGAAAGCGCGCGAAACTCTTCGCGCGCTTCGAACTTTCTAGATTCCCAGCTCAAATTATAATGATTGTTAGGTGAATTATATTTTCGAAACGTGAAATTAACCTGTGGTTGGGTGAATTATAACGCAGATTGGGTGAAATATAACGGCGATATTTTACGTCGGCGTGAAATATAATGGAGTTGGGTGAATTATATTGGCGATTCGGTGAAATATATCGGAGGTTGGTGGAAATATATTGAAAAAAGCTGAAATTAAACGCAAAATGGTGTAGTACTCTACTACAGTGTAGTACAGCTATGGTATGGACCGCGACTGGAATAATTCCCTCATTAAAACAGTTCCACTGTTGGTTTGACCCAAAATACTTTTCAATGAGGGAATTATCCCATCCGTCGCCCTGTAACCTGGGACTCCGTCCTCCCCCGGTGAGTACATACGGTGAAGTGGTCCGAGCATACAAAGTTCGATATAAACACTCAAATTGCAGTGATTTCTGAGAAAAAAAATAGTGCAACTGTTTTAATTAGGGAATTGTACCCCGACTGTAACCACTCGCATTCGTACCACGGTATTGCTTAGTTACGCCGTTATAACCACTACTAATACATTACAGTGCTGGTCAGTAAAAGTGGACGAAAGAAGCACACACAAATATAAATATAATTTCAAAAAGTAGGGAAGTAGGTATAGAGGCGTAACTAAGCAATTTGGGGGTACGCCAGCAACAGTGTACATGATTGTGAATGGGATCAATGGTTCCCCAACAAACACGTACAATCATATTATACCTCGATTTCACATATTTTAGTTGCAATTCGGTGGAAAACTTTGTGCAGATTTGCTTTTGCACAAATTTAGCTGTCGACGCACTACAGAAATCATCCCATGTTCCAACGCGTAAACGAACTTTGCTTGCATTTCCTATGACGCATGACTCAAACACATTACTGTAGTACTTCGTACATGGCACTAAAGGACCAATGGGCCTCACTGATGTCCATACATGCCGGTAGATAGATATTCATGGTCGTATTTACAGTCAATCCAAGGTACTGGTACTTTTTAGCTTTGCTTCCCTACACTCTCACACAGAGCAATTCCCTGATTAAAACAGTACTCCTGTTTCTAATCTCAGAAATACTGTTTCAATGAGGGAATTGCAGTATCTGGACAGAGGAGGCATATAATTGCCAAAACCATAGATCCACGCCACAGATTTCTCCGTGCACCATCATCGCCCACTACAGCGCCCGCTACCGCTGCACTTGTCGGGTGGAAGGCGGTGGAGTAAGCGATTATGGTGGACAGAGGAGTGCTCTAGAGGACGTCGCTGCACCACACTCTCCTCTGCAGCCTCTACAGTGTATTGCGATGTGCTCTACCGTCGTACTCCACTGTGCGATGCTGCCGAGTGCAGCGGCGGTCGCCCTTCCATGTCTCTGTGCATTGCACTTATACTGTAATTATTACAATGCGTAGCTATATTTCACATATTCCACCCGATAATAACGGAACAATCGATATGCTTCGTTTTAAAGCAAGTTCAACCTTGCTTCGTACAAAACGTCGAATCATTAACTGTAAAGCTGATAAAACCACTGGCAGAAATGAACTTCGATGTAATTTACAGTTAACGTGGCCAACCATTGATGTGCCGATTGTCCATTGATGTGCCGACTTTGTAGCTTACCGTCGGAATTGTTTCCGGATAACTACTATTTATCCGGTTGTATTGAATATGGCAATCAGTTGTTATCTGTCTCCTCTGTCCGGGATAACGTTACTTCACCGTCAATTCCCTCATTGAATCAGTATTTCTGAGAATACACCAGTAGTACTTTTTTAATCAGGGAACTGTTCTCTCACACAGGCCCATTTTGCTGTCAGCTCCAGAAATTCAGAGAAATGATGTACTCCGGAGTAGTAGGAAGTACAGTACATGTATTAATAGTTATCCTCGTACTACGATTAGTCGTTGAATAAGACGACGACTGACACCGCTGTAATCACTTTATTAGTAACCCAAACTGGTCTTCGGGGTTGTTTCGAGGGAATAGCTCCGATTTTGAGCATCCTTAAGGATTTCATCACGTTACCAATGGGTAGTTTATACAGTAGATGGAGGGCACCATACGACTGGACCTAGTTTCTGACAAAGGCCAAAGACAACTACTGTACTAGTACTACGTAGTAGTGCATAACGTTAGTACAGTACTAGTACCGGTACTGTACTGTACTCCACATGTCGACTTCAATATCTCATCGAGATGGATTCGAAGTTGTAAACACCTTGGTCAATGATATTCCATATGGGAATCCAATTGGTTGCGTCGACCGACTTGCCCGCCTGGTCTTCGCTTCAATGGTTGACATTTTTGGCAAACTTCATTTTCCTTTTCGCTCTACTATGGTCAAAGTCCTCATCTCCCTCAGCGTGTTGGCCGCTGCCGCTACGGCAGGCTCCGTCACGAAACTCCCCGAGTCTGTGACCAAGCTCATCGACTACTCCATCAACCCATGCGACGACTTTTACCAATATGCGTGTGGCGCGTGGTACAAGGATGTTGTGATACCCCCGGGCAGATACCTAATCGATACGGCGTTCTACGAGATCGGCATCCGAAACCAAGCTGTATTGAAGAAGATTTACTCTGACAACAAGCCCAAGCTTGGTGAGTTTTACAACTCCTGTTTGGATACGGCTACGCTATCGTCGCTCGGCGTAACACCGCTGGAGGACTCATTCAAAGCCATTCGGTCGGCCAACACCACGTTGGACCTTCTCATCGTGGCTGGTGAATTGGCCAAGAACGGCATCCCTGCATTTGTCGACATAAAGGCCAGCGCTGATGACAACGACGTGACCAAGAACGCCCTCTTCGGTTTCCGAACCCCCCTGTCGCTGGATCGCAGGTACTACACCACCCCTTCCTGGGAGACCGTCGAAGCCGAGTACAAGGTGTACATTGCGTCGGTGTTGCAGCTAGCTGGCTACACTGCTGAGCAAGCGGCGGCTGCCGTGCCGGTGATCATCCGTTTCGAGCAAACTCTGGCTGGTGTCGCACTCAACGAACTCGAGGAGATAGGGGCCCCTGTGTCTCCGTATACTGCGTTTACGTACAGCCAACTGGACCAGAAGTACCCCCTGCTCATCGGCTCGTGGCTCAAGGCCCACGGCTTTGACATCTACGACCAGTGGGGTGGGTCGAACGA